CTTCCTCCTCATCTTCAAAGTCGTTGTCTTCTTCGCTGCCAAAATCATCTTAAAAAAGGACAGAGAAGACAGGAAAAAAAAAATTACGCTTGAATTGACAACCGATTCCTAGGGCAGGCGCAGACCAGAAACGTGCATGATTTTTTAAGCATTGTATTTAGCTTGTATCATGCATGAATCTATTACATTTCCATGCTCTTTTCTACCAAGTTCCTGGCCTCATGTTTTTTTTGTAATTTCAAGTAGAAATGCATAGCAAAGTCACACGTATAAAGTTTACAGTCCAAAATAGTTATGAACGATGGTCACATTAGTTCCTCCCAAGCTTTCTTCCTTGCTAGGGAGTTCTTCCTTGCCACTGTCACCTTCAGCTTGCTCACTTGGGGGCTTTGGGCAAGGTTAATGTAAAGTGTTTGAGACAATGTCATGTTGTGAAAATGCAGTATACAAATAAAATTGAATTGAAAATTGAATTGAACATTCCTTGCTATTCACTTAATTGCCAAGTTTTTAAAATGTACCATCTGTCTTTTCACTATATCGGTATTGAAGAATCTTTCAAATATTTCAAAAGTTCAAATAACGGTGCTAGGGTGGCCTTTACAAACATGCGTATGGCCTGTTTTGATACCCCTTAATCCAAACCAACTGGACAATGACAGAAAAACACTTCAAAAGCAAGAACCAAAGGACTGAAGGTGACAAATGGTGGAAGAACGATGGAAGTGGTTTTACTCACCTGCAGAATCATCATTCTTGACTTTGTCTTCAGACTCATCACTGGAAGAGTTAAAGAAAAGAAATTATGGTATTTCGGCCTCTAGATCCTATAACCTCTGCCCAATTCTCCACTTTTAAATCTTTCTCATGCCACTTTTACTCTTCAAATCACTTTTTTAAGATATGTTCCAAAAAGTAGCTGGCTCACCTGTCTTCCTGCGAGTTCTTGCCTGACCTCTTCCTGTTCTTAGATTCTTTAGGGGACCTCACCTTTTTAAGCCTATCCAAGTCCCCTCCATACTCCTCATCTATACAGGGAGGATACATAAAAAATAGTAATACAATACACCGAAAACAGCATGTGCACAATAACATATAACAGATGTTTACATTTATGTTATATTCAAGGGAGAGATGTTGCTCACCTGCATCATCAGATTCCTGGAACTGTGAATAATCAACAACCTTCCTGTTCCTATAAAACCATAAAAAGTATGCCATCACATGACTACTTTGGCAATACACACTTATGCATAGTTACAACATTCGCAAGACAATTACTACATGCATGAAAAGGAACTTGCTGTTGTTATTTTGAATCATACAATTAAAGTATGTTAAAGAACAAGTTGACAGGTAAACTTTGCCCCATGACATAAAAGCAGGATGAATATTTATGCAAAAATTCTTACAGACCAGCTTGGTTCGAAACAGGTCACTACAAATGCCTTTCCATGCAAGCTAATTAAGAACACCATAGCTGAATATTCCAAAATGTTAAATACATTCACAAAATACAAAACTGCAAAAATATTAATCAAAAGGTAGGCCATGTCTAATCAATTCTATTAAATGTTTAGCTTTCAGAGGGACTTCAAAGCAAATTAGTCTTATCAAGCAACAAAAAATGTACAAATATTAGCAAAACTGATATATATTTTATGCATCTGCATCGACATTTTTGTTAGAGCTAAAAGAAAATGTTTATATTTCCAATAAAAAAAATAAAGCCTTAAAAATACAAAACTTCAGTAGTGTATACAGCCCTACACCTTATAATCACCAAAACAGCGCTGCGTAAATCCTACACCTTTACATGATCTGTGAATCATACAAGAAATTGCTTGCATATCTTGATGACTGACTGATAGTGATTACAAGTCATTTTTTCCATATTAGACAACGAAAACTGTACTCCTACAACTTCTTCCACAAGACACATCTATCTATTAATACAAAAGTACACCCACTATACATGCTGTATTTTTTGTTAGATCATGCTTTTGTTTAGATTGTTTCTTACATAATCGTAACATGTTAGCGTTTATATACAACTTACAATACGTAACATAAAGATTGTTCTAATGGCTGATACAACAGTACTTTAAATTAATGAAGGTAAAGAGCAACTTACAATTATGCTGTAACTCCACAAAAGAACAGGTGTCTCCATATCAACAGAGTGGGAAGTGATATTAAGCATATATCTAGAATGTCGCACATGTTCATCAACATAAACGATTAGCGCAGCTGCAGTATGTTTTAGTACTGGGAACCCCCTTACAACCATATCCGCGAGCCGCATGGCCTGCCCATAGCCACTACTCAAACCACAAAGAAATTCTGAAAATACATTGAACAAATACTTTTATTTCGGTTATTGCTGATCGTATTTTCCAGTTTTCCAAACTAAAAGATTCTGTTAAGCAACCTGTGATCGTCATTAGTAATAATACATAATGATAAATCTTTACTGACGCATTTTTCTGGTTAATTGAGAAATTACGAGATATTAGACATGCTGAAAGCAATGTACGGTCGGCCATATGTAATTTATATGGGTGCATATGTACGTATACATAGACTGGCAAATCCATATAATATGCATACAGAATATGTTTAACGTACCAAACTCGTTGAATTATGTACGTGTATAAACTCATGTACGGATACAGAAAACTGATCCTAACTATAGGGAAATATAAGCATGCAAACAGAGACCTGATACTCAAGAGCATGAAACAGAAAACTTCGGGATGTAACTGGAGACTTGAGGAACCAGACACGGATTGATACGTATTTACTGGTCGTGGTCTGCCCTCAAATTTTCATCAGCCATGTAAGAACTGGAATTAAAGGCTTAATGGCGTCGTTTTAGAATCTGCAATACACACGTAAACCTCTAAAATACCCCCAGTCATTAAACTCTGCAACCGAATTTCCTTAAACCGACTGCGGGGTTAATATTCAAAAAATGGGCAGAGTCGGAAATCATGGGAGAAAAGGCGGGCCTAATTCGTATAGGGGTTACACAGAACTCACCTTCATAGGATTAAAAATACAAAATAAAAAATAAAAAACACGAAATGTAATGTCGCTCCATCTGAATGCAATCAAGTACCGACATGTTTGACAGGACATCATCTTATTTCAATAACTGCAGCCAAAGGGTGAGCTTTTCGTTTTGCTGCAATACCACTGAAATCCATGCGCATCTCCAAACAAAAATCTGATTAAAAAAAAAAAAAAACTACTCAAAAGCCACTACTGAGTTTCACCAGTTGCACGACCCTTATGTGCACATTGAGGCTCTTTGCAAAACAATAATAAAATAAATGGAATGTTTGCTCATCTCTTTCGATCCTTCTCTGCAGCCGAATACCACGCCGCCTTCTTACACACACACACACACACACACACACACAAATTCGCACAAAACCCATGTTTTCGCAATAAGCAAATGCACGGCGTGTGATGTCATTGATACAAAGCTGACATGGCCAAGGTAGCTCAAGCAACTGTCCACACGCAACATTATAGTAGTTAAGCACGCATGAACAAGACCCATTCAAAAAACAGAGTTAAAAGACGCCCAGCTCCATAGCTCATTAAGGCCAGTCAACACATGCAACCGTGTGCAAGCATATCATGGATGAATGAGCAGCCATATTCTGGCTACGGCTACTGCTGCGTTGAGAAATGTAAATGTAACAATCGTCACCGTGCCTATTATTTTGCGGCCGATTTCCCTGGATGAGCGCATGAAATAAAATACCAGCAGTGCCGCGATATCAGCGACATATTTTTATTACGGCGATCACCCGATGCTGGGCGGCCAACAGGCATGCTAGCTACATTTTTTCGCATATATAACGTTAACATCGCAACGGCGCTAGTTGTGCCAACATGCAATGCAACTGGTTAAGGTAACTAGCGACTAAAAACGTATGTAAACATACCTCACTGGTCTTGACATTCTGCTGAAATAATGAGACTTAAATTAGCTACAGGAAAAACTGAAAATCTGAGGAGAAAATTCCTTTCGATGTAAGATAGCTTAAACTATGCCTGGCTAGCCAGCTAGCGAGCTAGCTTGCTGGGTAGCTCGAGCGACGTATTTAAATGTAAAAAATAAAATTAAAATAAACTCAGCAATTTGAGGGAAAAATAACAAAAATTTAAAATAACTGAAATCTTAAAGAGAATATATTTAAAAATACCCTCAGCTACCTACACAAAATGGTGAATAAAACAATTTGAAACTGCAGACCTAGCTCAACCAAACCGCTATCATTAGGCGGGAATTTGTTTGGAAGGACTTCCCACTGTAATATTTGACTGGAGAATTTGTTGACACGAATTCGTAAACTGGGCATTTCGAACGATTTTCCAACTCCGGATTGGACGGAGACGCTGTCATTCACGAGCAGGTCCCCGCCCCAAAAACGCGCCCCTCACTCGGATAGGTTGAGATGACACTGACGATAAGACAAAAAGAGGCCATGCAGCTAGTACTATACGGTCAGAGACAGGGTGCATAGTTTAAAACAAGCTAATTTAACTCTTCAAATAGCAGCGATGCGTCCAGTCGTACATTCCCATACACACCCAAGGGAATACCCTTTAAGTAATCAGGCAACAAGTTGGACAAAATAAAGTATCATGTTTGAATACTATGTCCCAAAAAGTGAAATTGGGCCCTGAAGGACCGACGTTTTTACATGTGTAAAATCGCAGATATATATAATTATTTTTCCCTTCAACACATTTTTTGAGTTCAAGTAATTATAAAATATTAAGATATATGAATTTCTAGACACATTTTAATCATAAAAATGCCCATGTCACCAACCTTTGTATTTCTACTAAATGTGTGCCTGAAACAGAAAAGAAAAAAAAACAAAGAAGGCTGGAAATGCTGTTTTACTGCTTTATTTTAATGATATTATTGTTTTTGCATGTTCATTCTGGGGTACAACCAAGGATGCAAACCTCTTCAATTCTGACATTATAAAAACCATCTGTCTTTATAAAACAAACAAAAACAAGTACCATCCAATTAATTGTAAATGCAAAATAGTGGGTGATGTTAAGTACTAGACATGTTACAGGAGGTGTGTAAAATCTCAGACTTGGGAACCAGTGGTGTTATGCAGAAATGGTACCCAATACATATTACTGGTGCACTGTTCTGGTGGTATTCTATTAAATTCTTTAATAGCTTGATTTCAAATGGTTCTGAAAGACATTGTCTAGTAAAACCCACGGTACTGTTGAATGCTTTTCCTGACTCCAGAAAAAATTATTAAAAATTTTACTCTGTTAACCCTCGGCTGTTTTAAAGAGCAGCGTCCGTAAAACAGGAAGGGGGGGGCTTTGAACAAAAGGCAGGTAGGGCAGTGGTGGACATCAAAAGCAAAAGCATTTTCACTGCCCCCCTCCCTTAAGTGCAACTCCTTGATCTAGGACCAGTTACAGCAGGAACAGCTGGTATCAAATACCAGGCCACTAGCACAGCTTTGGAAGTATGTCCTGCCCCTACTGCACTCGTAGAACTTGTTTTTGTCGGTGGGATCAGGGTACATTCCATCAGCTTTGCCTGTACAGAAGCTGCTGTTCATGCCTCCGGTGCCGCTGGAGCTGCCACCACTGGAACTGCCACCACTGGAGCTGCCACCACTGGAACTGCCTCCCTTTGAATTGCTTCCAGTAGAGCTTGATGCGACCGTGGTGGTGGACTGTCCTGGAATGGGGGGCACAGGGGTAGCAGGTGGTTTGCAGGCTAAAAAAAAAATAAAAGAGAACAATTCATATACATATATAAATACAGACATACACATACACACTATATATACACTGTATATATATATATATATATATATATATATACAGAGCATTATTATTGTAATCATCAGGGTCATTTCTAAATTAAAGTCATTCCCAGAGATCCTTCATTTATAACTTGTTTGAACGTGGCCCAGTTGGTTAAGCCTTTAAGTGGGGGGAGGGGGGTCATCACACTTCCTACTTCATAGCAAAGGGTTTTTGTGAAGTGACATCAGTAATGTTATCTACAGGCAAGTCACTCTTCAGTGCCTTTTATAGATACTTGTGTCATCAGGCACATTCAACAACAGAGCTGCAGAAAAGCGAGAGACTTACAGCCTTGACCCAAGCCGAAAGCCTTGTGGAGGACATTGATCAGTGGGTATTTGCCCTGGTTGCAGTATGTTCCCATGTAGTCATCCATGTCGATAGTCCACACCATGGCTCCTCCAAATTGGTTCTTCATTAGCCAGTCAACCTACAGATGATGGGCAGAATAATTTAGAAGGAGCCCATTGAGCTTTTGTCAAGGGGTTAGACGTAACACAGTTGAAAGCTGTTTCTATTCTGCTACTAAGGTCCATTTACATTAAATCATTTATCTAAAGCTTTTACCCAAAGTGACTTACAGTAGAGGCAAGGGTTACAATTTATGTCGTCCCCAGTAGTTCAACCCACAACCTTCCTGTTGTTAACACAATGCTCTACTTATTTAGCTACAGGAACCATTTATTAACATCAATGCAAGCCTAGACTCAATTAATAATAATTGATACTTTATTGATCCTCATGGGGAAATTCTCATTTCCCTCCCCCAACCTGCTCTCTGTGGGTGAGAGCAAGCTGGCTGTGAAGGGCAGCCACCCATAGCTGGGGGTTGAGGGAGCACTCAGAGAGCTGGGGGTTGGGGGCCTCGCTGAAGGACCTGCAGATGTGCTGAGGCCGGGCTTCAATTGGTGGCCTTCCGATCACAGACACAGAGGCTTAGCCAACTGAGCCACACGCTGTCCTCAGTTAGTAAGTTAAGACAGTATTTTATTTACCTGAAATAATGCCAGTTAAAAAGTTCATTATTTTCACACAGTCTGTAAGTTTATGTGTCCAGATACAAATCAATATACCATAGATTTGTCTAGCATTTACAAGTACTTCATGTACTGACAGGTACATATTTTTTCAATTTCATGAGTTCCTGTGCACTCATCAAAGCCTCACCTTGATCTGGAAGCTCTTGAGATTGTCATAGCCAACCCACTGGTTTCCCTTATAGGCATAGGGCACATTCTGCTCAGTGTTCCAGACTTCTGTAGCTCCATCCAAAAAGCCACAGATCTATGAAAAGAGTTTAAAAATTCACTGAGGACCTCATAGATGTCCTGGTCTAGCCATTAACAAGTTCATTTTCTATACTGCTTTTGTCCTATACAGGGTTGTGGAACCTATCCTGGGTACAACAGATGCAGGGCTGGGAATAAGCCATGATGGAGCACCAACTGACTAGGGTCCATACACACATATGGCAATTTTGAGCTGGGGGGGGGGGGGGGGATGGGGGGTTAATGAAGGTCCCAGAGGAAACCCCAGTATCGCCCTCCACATATACAGAGCTGGGGAATTGAACCGTGGTCTCCAGAGGTACAAGGTGGCCATGCCATCCAAATATTCATCAATATTAACCATGTTCATCCATAAAATAGGAGTATTGATAACCGGAAATCTCTTCCCAACTTGAATCCTCAGTGCCCGTGGCGTGGTTACCTCGAAGTAGGCCAGCTCACCAGCCTCCTGCGTGTACTTTCCTGCAGTTCCAGCCCCTGAGATCGGAGCGCCGATGCCGTGGTTGGCCGGGTTACTCAGGGTGAAGGTGTTGCCATAGGTGGGGAAGCCAACTAGCAGTTTCTCAGCCGGTGCTCCATTGTTCTTCCAGTAGTTCATTGTATAGTCCTATAAAAAATAAAGATTACATACTAAGATGAACAGCAGTGAGTACCAGCCCTATATTCTGTAACTTTAGATAGATAGATAGATAGATAGATAGATAGATAGATAGATAGATAGATGGATAGATGGATGGATGGATGGATTTACTTTTTTGATCCCAACTGGGAAATTCCTTAATATTAATATTCCAAGTACGTTTTAAAAAATCAATTTCTTTTGGTTTGTGGTGGCAGGGGTGACCCAACATAAAATAATAATAATAAAATAATAAAAACAAAATATGGATTGTTTTATTTTCTGTGCAGGACCATAGAAGGGACATTGTATAATATGGCCGCCCCCATAAATACAACTGCCCCTTCATAGGTGCCACTGTCCCGTGGGTTGTTAAAGAATCATTTTGGAAATTATTTTTTTCGTTTTGGAAAATCAAATTTATTTTTATTAAAAAAAAAAAAACAACTTTCATGATCTCTAGAGACCAACTATGGGGTTTTTAGACAAATATGTCTCAGGCCGTTCATTTTTTGTGTATATACTCAGTAACATTCATGAATTTCCTACTTACCACATTGAAGTAGATGTAGGATCCAGAATCAAAGGAGTCCCTGTACAGAGGACTGCACTCCCCAGTGAAGGGGTCCCAGGAGCCGTGGTAGTCGTAGGTCATCACATTGATCATGTCAAGGTACCTGATTATACAAGGAACAGAAATATATGGGAAGGACAGATATGGTAACTGGATCATTTAGTGAATTTTCTTGTCCCCAGGTCCCAAAATAAGTAAGCTATAATGTATATTATATGGAAAATATGACAAAAATAGCTAGCTACTGTACATAAGACATTTTTATTTGCCCATTTCAAGCAGATGCCTGAGCATGTAGAGTTTTCCTGTGTTGCTAGTCAGGGAGAATTTGGGTGGGATAAAACACGTTTTGTGCTGACGGTTGTCATTGGCACGGCACGGCATAGTGGGATGGTGCCACCTCAGACGTGGTGCCACCTCAGACATGGTGCCATCTCAGAGGGGTTCCACCTGGCAGCTGTATAGGGGACCATGGCTTAGGTCAGTTGTCACCAGCGTGTCGACCGCGACTCTACAAGTGACTAGAAGGGAGGCAACAACTTGTCCTGTTGCCACTTGCACCCCCCCCTCCCCCCCAGGTTATTGCCTTTGTAGAAATAGCACTTACTGTAAATACAGTTGGAGATCCTTAGATAGTCACATGCAACATCATCCTTTCTCCATCATGAGACTAACTGAATTTCCCAGTGGAACTTTCCTGAGGGATTAATAAAGTTTTCTACCTACCTATCAGCATGTTGGGCAGTACAGTCTTTTACACCTCAGCTGGTCCACTGGACACTTTGTCTTTTATTTAAATGGGACTAAATTAAGTTGTGCTTATTAATTTACTTGGAAGCCTCACGTCTCTCTTGCAGGTTTATGGGAAGTTCTCACTCTTGGGCACTGTACCTGGTACCCTATTACAATCTACGGATCAAACTTGATAATCAATTTGCCTTATATAGAAAGTAATTGTGCATCCATCCATCCATTTTCTGAAACTGCTTAATCCCAACTGGGGTCGCATGGGGGACTGGAGCCTATCACGGGAACAACGGGCGCAGGTGGGAACCAACCTTGGGCGGGCGCCAACACACACACACTCACACACACACAACTACTGGGCCAATTTAGACTCACCAATCAACCTGAAAGTTATTGTCAGATCATTAAACTTCATGAAATACTGTTTTGTTATTGAAAATTGTTCCGGACCACTGGCTTTGAACAAAAATCTAATGTGGACCTTTGCTCAAAAGAGTGCTATAGATTTTAGGTCTGGCTTAATTCCATGGGTGACACTGAAGAATGACACTTACTTTCCAACTTCGGGTATCTGGTAGGCCGTGTCGATGGTGCCGCGACCAGCTGAGACAGCGGCGGACATCAGCAGTGGCCGCTTGTTGCTCTGCTTAGCTTCAGCTTCAAAGGCTTCCCTCATTTCCTATTAAACAAACACAGAGAGCTGTTATCCACAGTCAAACCAAAAACCCATACTTAGAGGTCATGCCGGTCTGCTATAGGATGGGTCCTGCATTTCACACTTACATACTTGGCTGTATAAATAGGAAAAGGTACCAGATTTTGCAAATAAGTTTTTTGTAAACATTTTTGTAAAATGCTAAATTGTAACTTAAAGAATTTGCCGTGCTGTTCCATGAACCTTTCATTACACACTGGGCATTTGGGCATTTCCTGATTCACATGAGTTCAACTTTATGGTCATGTGTGTTTTATGTTCGGAAGAATTCAGCCTTGTCGTCTAACACATTTACAGGAAGCAGCCTGCAGCCTATTCCAGATATAAAATGGTGCTTCTTGTTTTCTAATTAAACTACAGATGCCTGTCCCTGACATTTCCATCCCAGAGTCAGATTCACTTAGAATTAAATTAAGAAATCAATTAATTTACTTGAAATCAGTTAGCCGACTAATCAATTAATTACCAATTTAGTTAAGAGTGGTGGATGGTCAGGCAGCATGGTGGCGCAGTGGTTAGCGCTGCTGCTTCATGGCAAGAAGGTCCCGGGTCCGGTCCCGGGTCCTCTCTGTGTGGAGTTAGCACGCGCTCCCTGTTTTTGCCAGGGGCTCTGGTTTCCTCCCACGGTCCAAAAGCGCGTAGGGCAGGTTGATTGGCGAGTCTAAACTGGCCCTATAGTTGTGTGAGTGTATGTGCCCTGCGGTGTGGTGGCTGCCCAGGGATGTTTCTTGCCTGCGCCCATTGTTCCCAGGATAGGCTCCGGATTAAGTGGTGATGGAGGTGGATAGTCTAGGTCCAGAAAGGCAAAATACCCTGACCACGATTTTGCTTCACCCAACAGTTGAGTACTCTGTGACTGTGACTCTTTATTGTTGGTTTATGGAACTGGTTGGCTGAATCAAAATCTTGGTCTGGATTTTTACTTTCTGGATCTGAATTAACCATCTCTGTTAGTAAATACGCAAACGTAGCAAATACATTCTGTCAATCTATAACTTTCACAGAGTGGCCAAACTTATTAAGAACTGGTAGGACATAGGACAAATAAACCACATAAGCCAGTGAAATATGCCAGGCTATTGTTTTAGTCCCAGAATTACCTGCAATAGGACAGAGTACAGCTGCTGGTCTTGTGGAGGGCTCCCCCTGTTGCCTGGGTATTCCCAGTCAATGTCAAGACCATCAAACTGATACTTCCTCAGGAAGCTGATGACAGAGTCGATGAAGGTTTGACGGGTACCAGAGGAAGCCACCATAGCAGAGAATCTTAAAAAGGGGAGAAAAGCCAGTTTTATGCAAACGTGCAAAACTGTGTAGTACAGGCACTTACATGTAAAAGGTTAACTAAAATTGACCAAGTCTCCTTTCAGAATTTTAATATAGCTACAGTCACATTGAAAGGACGTTAATTTTAAATATACTAGCCAGCATAATAAAATATTCTCTATACTAGTTTAAAAGAAGCACTTTTTTATTTTAATATTTCCAAAGGCCAAAGGATATTGCTGATGATAGATAAGACAGGTAATGGTGATCCTGGTCTTCATTATTTATCAACATTTATTATTAGTAAGATGTCTAGTATAGTGGTGCTCAAGACAGAGCAAACAGGCAACAGCACTGTATGTTTTATTCATGTTCATGGTGAGTTTGCCGCTGTGGCACCTTAGCCCCACATGACACACTCGACGAATGTGTGCGGTAAATTAATGTCGAACTTCCTACCCAGAGGAGCCGAAATTCCAGCCTCCAACAGAGAGCAGGGTTTTCATGTTTCCATTCCTGCAAAATTAGAGTGAACAGAATTGATATTATTGGCTGGCAACTGGACGTTTTATGGACATGAATGGGACAAAAATTGTATCCGGGACAGGTTGCATGCATCTGCAGAATGGCGGCCAGTGGTTCCCTCACTGGTTCTTAAGGTCGTTGAACTGCCCGTAGAGAGTCACATCATTCCACTCGTAAGTGGCGAGCTTGCCGTTTGTGATCGTGGCGAAGGCGTAGAGGAGGTGGGTACACAGGCATGGGTCGATGTTAGTGGGCATGTAGATGGTTGGAGGAGGCCTGTATTGTGCCCAGTTAGTGAAGTAACAGGACAGGATGTAGGAAGAGCCTGGATGGGAGAAGAACATGTGACGATTCAGTACGAGGAAACGTATACCAATCAATACATAACACGTGTGCAATAGACCAATGAAAACACCTCAACATCACAATCCCCATAAAGTGCAGCTGCAAGTCATTCAGATTTCAATATTGATAAAGCAGATGGTTTGGGGGAAGAAACTGCTCTTGAATCTGGAACCCATCGTTCTGATACTGTGAAACGTCTTATCAAACTCTGGGGTGAGAAGACAAAGAGTATGATTGAGGTGGACTTGATCCTAACTGATCCCAGGTGGAAATTCAGGAATGTGGCTTTGGTGATTTAGGTCATGTACTACACTCTGTTGGATCAATGGTTGATGCATATCCAGTCAATGGATGGCAGTTTGGTTACATAATCTTCTGGGCTGACCTCATAACCCTAAACTGTGCTCATCCCCCACTTCTTAAGCTATCTCAGGAAACGACGGGCTTTCATGAGGTCCGATCCAGTGTTGGTTTTCATGAGGTCCGATCCAGTGTTCCCAGTCTATCTTAGCCTCTCTGGGACCTGGACGCCAAGGAAGTTGCTGAAAGTTCCCATTGGATGGCCAGCAATGGTGATCAATCTGTGACTCCTGATGTGATTCGAGAGCTCCGTCTTCTTTTTTATTGACGTTCAGAGTGAGGTTATTGTGTTGGCTCCTCTCCAGTGGACAAGGACGAAGATATCAAATGAAAACAGGGGCCAGCTGTGCTCCACATGTCTTTAGAACAGATGAAGGGATGTGATCGTATCCAGCAGCTCTGCCAGCTTTGACCTTGCTGAAAGTCGTCTGCTCTTCCTGTTCAGACATTTGCAGCACAAATTCCCCTGGTTCACTGAATTCTTTTTGTGTCTGGTCCACATTAATGGTCCTCAGACTTTGGATATAAGTTATACAGCATGTCAAGTAGTATAATTCTATTTCACAGGGTGAACAGTGACTATACTGTACATGCAACATGAACTACATAACACAAGATGAATTACATGAATGCTCACTAAAGGGCTTTATAACATTTAATTGCGTATACAAATACCCTTGTATTATAAAAATCAATGAGATATATAGCGATCATCCATCCATCCATTTTGTCTAAATTCTTCTCGAGTAAAGGGCCACTGTGGACCTGGAGCTCCACCCAAGAAGCATTTGTCACACTTTTTGGGGCATTCCTGATACATAATAAGGGACAATCCTATCAGGATGCCAGTATATAGTATGAACACTGAAGCGGAATTCAAATTGAATCGTTGACTTATTAATATTAAGATGAAAATCTATACTGCTGATGTTTTTTTTCCTGATGCTGGTTCCTGGGGGAAGTGTCACCTCATACCTGCAGGATGGGAGCGAATCCCACTCATGCTTTCTGTATGTCACCTTTCCCTGTTATTTCCTCTACATGCTCTGTTTCCTCAGTAGTACTGAAATGCGTAGGCAATTTCATTGGCTTTTATTTGCATATAAAGCCATTACTGGCCAATTCCTTTCTTGACTGTCTACTTGAACATTTCCAAGATGGATACCTACTCCTTGCACTGCTAGTTCCCAAAGTGTCCACCACGTTGACCAAGGTCAGTTTTAGGCTTGCTGCTCTGGCTGCATGGAAAATGCTCCAAACTTCAGACACCTGTTACCTTGGATATGTTTAAATATGTGATGATAAGGGCTTTAAGGCATGAGTTGGGTTCATGCAATTGTTTGTAAATGCACTGCTTTAATTGTTTAAATATTTATTTTCCTTTGATTGCATGTTTCTGTTTAAATAAAGGTAAATAAAAATAAATAAAATAATAATACTGGATTTACTGGATTTATTTCACAAAATAATGTATTAGAAAGATTACTTAATATTAGCTTGTCATTTCTCATTCTGGCCATTAGAGGGAGCTAGGGGCTAACTTTTGGATTTCTCTCTCTCTCACCAGTAAATGAGTTGATTTATTTAATCAGCAGTGAGTATTTAAGTTACACCTTGGTATTTTCTGTTTGGAGTTCCTTTGTAGCGCATGGAGGTCCTGATTTTATGGATTTGGCCTCTTCTGAAGATCTTGGGTGCGAGAGAGATATGTAGAGACTTGCGTATTACCTGTGTGTAATGTCATTCTGAGAGTGAGATACTAATCTGCAACTGGATTCTCAACTACACTGGGAAAATGGTAGTATTATGCACTGCTTAACTATGAATTAGACCAGTGGTATCCCAGTCCAGTCCTTGGAGACCAACAGACAGTCCAAGTTTTGCTCTACCAGGAGCTGGTAAGGAGAGAAAACGTGGACTGTCTGTGGGTTCTAGAGGACCGGATTGGGAAACAATGTATTAGACAAATGCTGAAAAGGAAGAAAAGGGCCAGAATATAACTTAATTAAAACTATATTAAATTACGTTATGTTGAACAATTTTACGTGGACTCCCGACGTGAACGTATGATACACCGTCTATCAACAACATACAGGGAAGGAACTTGGGAGCCAGTTTCACTTACCGAGCTGCGCGTTGAGCAGCAGGGCCACAGCTGTGAAGGAGAAGCCAGACAAAAACACATATTAACATGCAGAACGTTCTGTGGAATGGTGACAACATCCTGCAGCATCATGACTCCAAACAGCACATCGTACAAAGCTGCCAGCTACGTTTACAGTTATGACCCTGAGAGTGAAAAATATGCCAGTTTACCCAAAGGTAGCGACTTACCCGAAAAAAGCAGTAGTTTCCCCATGATTGCCCAGTACAAAAGTGAGTCTGCAAGGTCGCACCTTTATACTCTGTACCTCTTTCCACAATATTTACTAAAGATTGAGGTCCATTATGATTTAATAATGCTTTGCTTGATCACTTATCATGTTTTCACTGTTCTTTCGACAAACACCGGACTGCTATACTTTAAATAACCACGTGGTAAGATAAAGATACGCAGTTCAGTGAAATTTGCCTATTTTTGTGAAAGAAAGGACAAACAGGAAAAATTAGGAAGAAAAGTAAGTACTACTCAGTTCTGTAAACCTTGGACTAAACATTTTTCTGCATGCGTATGTCGGGTATGTGGTAAAGTAAGAGTAACTTAATATCTTCTCTGTAATACAGAGATACTCTATCCTTAAGATTATGAATTATACCTATTGGGGATTTTATTCGTCAATAAAAATCTATAATTTATAGTCATGTGAATAACTATAAACTATTTATGTGAATAAATATTAAATATTTAGTTCTTTATTCAGAAATATCAACATAATATTTGATCTTCTTTCAAATTATATTTACAGATAAAGGTGATGTTATTGCATGACCGACACAAAAACAACATTTACTTCTTTAACAAAAGAAATGAACTAAGATGTCAATTCCTACTGAAGATAAAGTTAGGACTCTGTATGTCCTAATAGCCAGTATGTTCCCCTCAGTGAGACATTTTCTATAACCATCTTTCTATAACCACCGTCCCTGACATGGACCGGCAGAAAGTTTTCCCCACTCTCCAATGCAGAATTCCTCAAGCTGTGTGATGTTTGAAGGGTGTCTTGCATGCACAGGCTTTGACTTGGCCATTCCAGAACTCTCCATTTCTGTCTTTTGAGCCACTCCTTGCTAGATTTACTGGCATGTTTTGGGTCATTGTCATGTTGCATGGCTCACCTCTGCTGCAGTTTTCATTTTTGGACAGATGCACCCTTTGATACAATGAAGAATTCATATGGATTCTATGATGTTGAGCTGGTCAGGTCCTGCTGCGGCAAAGCAGCCCCAAACCATGACATTTCCACCCCCATGCTTCACAGTTGGTATGAGACCCTTTTACTCAAATGTTGTCTTTGTTTTACGGCAAACACGTCCTCTGTTGTGGTCTGCTCTTGGGCTGCACTTACTAGGACGGCCTGACCTGGCCTCGTTGGCAGTCATTTTAGATGTTCTCCATATTCTTGTGGTTTAGATAAGACAGACTCCTCTAAAATGCTCTGTAACGATGCTATAATCGTTAGTACCTGATGTGGAACACCTGAATCTGATTCCAGGTATGTTAAGTAGTAATGAATGTGGAATTGCCCTAACTGTTTCCTCACAAGAAATTGCTTTTCTATTAATTACATTTTACATTTTTTTTAAAGACTTCTTCAGTTTAATTTGTTTAGTTATATTACCTTAGTTTCTCAATATTGTTAAAATGAAGGTCATATGTCCATATGTTTACCTATGATAATAAACGCAGGTTTGGGGAAGAGAAAACAGATATACAACCTGTCTGGAAAATGTAATTGTATTATTTGAACAATTAGTAGATGTTATATAACCGATAGGGCTATCTCAAAGAGATTGGGCTATCTCAAAAACAGATAGCCACGTTAGAATATCAGCCATATTAGTAAATGATATGGTGCAGCTAATGCACATTTTTATCTAACTGATTTATCATGGAGAACAGGTCAAATGTCCTTTTGTCTCCATACAATGCAAAGTAGAATTTTTCAAAAACATGAAAGAAATAGGTATGTGAGAAAAATATAGTTCTTAATGTAAAAATCACGCATGTATACTGAAGCACATTTCACAATGTTGTAGATATATTTTCAGACTTAATGTGTTCACAGTCTTTTCTCTATGCTGCGGTCTGTTGGGGAAACATCTCCAGTTTAGGTAATGCCACTCGCCTCAACAAACTCATTAGCAAAGTCAGCTCCATCACAGGACTGACCCAGGACCCAGTAGAGGTAGCTGCAGAGTAGCAGATGTGACAAAACTGCCATAATGAACATCATGAGCAAATCTGCCCATCTGCTACATGGGCTACACTCCTTAGCCAGTGTTTCCCAACCCAGACCTCAGGGACCCACAGATGGACCATGTTTTTCCTCCCTCCCAGGTCCCTGTCACACAGTCCATGTTTTTGCTCCCTCCCAGGTCCCTGTCACACAGTCCANCTCCCTCCCAGGTCCCTGTCACACAGTCCATGTTTTTGCTCCCTCCCAGGTCCCTGTCACACAGTCCACATTTTTGCTCCCTACCGGGAGCTGGGAGGGAGCAAAAACATGGACTGTCTGCGAGTCCCCAAAGACCGGATTGGGAAACACTGGCTTTAGCTACCATGGTGTGCTCAGAAGCATTTCTGGGGATCCTTTGTATCTTCTGCCATCAGGTGCCACCGCACCTCCTCCTGGCATGCCAGCTCTCACCGCACCAGACACAACACAACACAGGACAGTGTTTAATAACAAGCAATGTTACCGTACATAATTGTACTTGTACTATGTACGTCATTAATTAATTTACATTTATTTCCTATCTATCCTGTTTTTGCACAACATGGTTTGCACAATATATTTTCGCACTTTCATACTTAAACTTTGATATCGCTCATTTATCTCTGTTTCCTTTGAGAAAACAAAGGTAAATACACATGATTACATAATAACAAGGGTGTTGCTTTGATATCAGTATTGGCAAGGACTAAATCAGCCCCAAACCCCCCATCCCCTAAACATGGATGGTTTCCCTACCATCCATACCCAAAACTACGCCCTTGCACCATGATGTCACCCAGGGTGTCCCCCGCCTTGTGGCCTGTGCTTCCTGTCATAAGCTCCAGGCTCACTGTAACTATGTGGTTATGATGAGATGGATTTGGAAACAAATATGTTTAAACACTTTCCAAATGACTAAAAGTCCCAACTTACAACTAGTACAATACAAAACTCTCCATAGAATACACTTCGCAGGACAAAGGATGTTCCAAATACACTCAAACTTATGCACCCATAAGTAACTTTGTAGAGAACCACATGCATGCCGTATGGTCCTGCACACCGGTGCAGAAGTTCTGGCAGAGGATATGTGAAGATTTATCAATATGGTTTAATTGTCACATCCCAACCTCACCCACAATGTGCATTTTAGGTGATGCAAGTGAATTAGATATGGAAGAAAATAAGGCGCACATGATGAGATGGATGATTACATAAGTTAAATATATTTTGTGCCATTTTATATTTTTTATATGCATTGCTTTGGTTAGTCATTAACCAAACTTTAGTCAACTAACCTGGAATATTTGAAAACTTGGATAGACACCCTTTCACACTGGGGGGGTCACTGCTCCATCCTTAGCCACTATGTGTGAGACTCTTTCCAGCAGTGAGGCTTCAACACTGGAATCTGCTGCAGATACAGAAAAAAAACACAACCATTGCCTGGTTGTGATGAAGGCACTGCCGACGCGTCTGTAAATTCCAAGCACTCAGGAGACCAGGAATGACTGTTGAACAGTGGTGGAATGTAACAAAGTATTTGTACTTTGTTACTGTACTTAATTACATTTTTACGTATCTGTACTTTACTTAAGTAAAAATAATAATGCATACTTTTTATTTTACTCCATTTGCGGCAATTATCTGTACTTTCTACTCCACTACATTTCTACAATTTATGCCGTTAGGCGTTACATTTTATGAACACAATTTCCTCAGAATCTTGCATGAAAAAATAGTTAGCCTATTGCGTTCTGGCGTTGTTTGCCATATCCTACCAATCAGGTGGCTTTATTAGCTCCAATGATGGCAGAGGGCCATATTCATACTGCCATATTCATACTGCCATATTCTTGAGAGCGCCACCCCACCACTAGTGTTTGGTTACTGTTGTGTTTCCCATTTACTGCTCTTAACAGATTGAATAGTTTTGCAAGTACACAAATGATTGATATTTATATTTATTTATATTTATTTATATTATATATTTATATTATATACTATTATATATATTATATTTATATTATATATTATATATAATATATTTATATTATATTTATATTTATATCATGTCCTGATTGGTTTATCTTAATGGTATATAAGTGGGTAATACCTAGTAGATAACTTGTCATCCCCATAATTCTAAGTTAGGGTACACACAATATTGCAGAGTACATGCACCATAAGCACACCAAACTTTCCAATACACATATACTGTATAGTTGCTAGTAATTATTACGCGCAATAACATTTGTAGAGGCGTAAGTCAGTATATCTACTATTCTTTTACAAAATGGCACACCCCAGACGTTGAGACAAACCATTGTGTGAGTACTTTTACTTAAAAAAATACTTTAAAGTAAATTTAAAAGTAAGTACTTAGTACTTTCACTTAAGTAAGATTGTTGATGTAGCACTTCTACTTTTACTTGAGTACATATTTTGCAGGATATTTGTACTTTTACTTAAGTACTAAGCTTCAGTACTTCCTCCACCACTGCTGTTGAATGGGGTTTGCTGTTCAAAGGGATATAGTGATCTTCTTGCATAACATAGATGCTCCCCAAACACCACTTCTGTTTTGTGTCATTTTTGTTCACATTTTATCATAATGAAAATGAAAAAAAAAGTCAACAACAAGTAAAGCATCCTCAATGGAACAGGTTAGCCACACAAACTACTGAATGTACGTGTCACAAACGTAAATGCACAAACAACGAAGTCCGCAAGTCAGAGTCATGGGATCAGATGTTATTTTAGAAAAAGTACACGTATTGCACAACAAAACAATGAGGAAGGAAATAAAATAAACCACTCTCTCACTCGATTTCCAGACCTTCACTGATTTATATCAGACATGAGGACCTGTGTGTTTTTTATCTGCTTCTTCCTTGGTAAAGTATATAAAACTTTTAATCAAATGTCGCTGTAGGTACTACTACTAATTAAGCTGAGAGGGAAAGTTCAGGCTCAGAAAGTTCAAATCCAGACCAATATTTTGTGTCGTGAAAGTGACTCATTATACTCAACTGGTTGGCTGAAACAAAACCTTGGTCTAGATTTGCACTTTCTAAGCATGAACTTTCCAGCTTTGTAATTAAGGATATCTTTGTTCAGAAAATCAGCAATGCAAACCTTTGTCTTAGGTTCCTTTATTTATATTTCCTGACCTATCAAATGTCCTTCCTTTCACCAACAGTATCTTCTGAAGCCAAGTCTAGAATTTCTGCACCAAGTTTGGTGACAGCCATCGCCAAGGAGTCTGTCACCATTCAATGCCATTATGACCCCCGCTACAGGAATCATGAAAAGTACTGGTGCAGAGGGGCAATACGTGACTTCTGCAGGGCAGTAGTGAAAACCACAGGGTCCAATACAAATAACCGGACTGCCATGAGTGATGACAGATACAACGGAGTCTTAACAGTGACTGTCCACGACCTGCAGCTAAAAGACAGTGGAAAGTACTGGTGTGCTATTTCCATAACTCTGAAAGACATCTTCGCTGGAGTTTTCCTGCAGGTTTTAAAAGCAGGTAATTCCACCTGGAACATCAAGACATTTTAGAGTTACAGAAAAAGCCAAGGGCACACATTAATATAGCTGGGTTCTTTTATATATATACACTCACCTAAAGGATTATTAGGAACACCATACTAATACGGTGTTTGACCCCCTTTCGCCTTCAGAACTGCCTTAATTCTACGTGGCATT